CGTTTCCTCCGTCTGCGTCTCTCTCTCTGTCTCTGTCTGCGTCTGCGTTCCATCCGATCCTCCGTCTCCTCCGTCTGCGTCTCCTCCGTTCTGCGTCTCCGTCTCCCGTCTCCGTCTCTCTGTCTCTGCTGCGTTGCGTCCTCCGTTCCGTCTCCTCCGTCTCCGTCTCCTCCGTCTCCGTCTCCTCCGTCTCCGTCTCCTCCGTCTGCGTCTCCGTCTCCTCTGTCTCTGTCTGCGTCTGCGTCTCCGCGTCTGGTCTCCTCGTCTCCGTCTCCTCGTCTCCGTCTCCCGTCTCCGTCTCCTCCGTCCTGTCGGTCTGCGTCTCTCCGTCTCGTCTCTGTCGCGCTCTCCGTCGCGTCTGTCGTCTCGCTCCCCGTCTGCGTCCCGTTTCCTCTTCCGTCTTCGTCTCTGTCTCCTCCGTCTCTCCGTCTTGCGTCTCCGTTCCTCCGTCTCCCGTCTCGTCTCTGTCTCTCCGTCGCCGTTCCTCCGCTGCGTCTCCGTCTCCTCCGTCTCTGTCTGCGTCTGCGTCTCCTCCGTCTCCGTCTCCTCCGTCTGCGTCTCCGTCTCCTCCGTCTCTGTCTGCGTCTGCGTTCTCCGTTCCGTCTCTTCCGTCTCTGTCCGCGGGTTTCTCCGCCCACCTCCGTCTCTCCTTCGTCTCCGTCTCCTCCGTCCTGCGTTGCTCTTGTCTCCCGCTCTCCTCCGTCTGCGTCTCTGTCTTCGCCTCCGTTGCTCCCGTCTCCGTCTCGTCTGCTTCCTCGTCTCCTCCGTCTCCGTCTCCGTCTCCGTCTGCGTCTCTGTCTCTGTCTCCGTCTCCGTCCCTGCAGGCGCCTGCTGCCCTGCCGCCGTCACGAGGCCGTCCCCAGCGCTGGGAAGCCCGGGCTTCGTGGTGACAGCTCCTGTCACAGGCTGGTGCGTCGTGTGTCTCAGAGTGTGGGGCTGGAGGTGACCTTTGTCAAGGACACTCCCGGAAGTGGGTGTGGGTCCTGGCCTTCTCTGGAGGTCCAGGGCGTGAGGGGCGGGTGCCTCCCGGGGTCGGGACGGCTAGAGTGCAGAGGCGTCACTTGATTCCTTTAGGCCTCCAGCCCCGGACAGGCTGACATCCTCTAGCGTCCGAGTGTGGGAGTCTGTTGATGGGTCCAGGGGTCTGGTCTTGTCCCCTTCTCCCTTCCCTTCGCCTCCGGCAGATGGTCGCTTCCATCATCACAGGCTCCCTGGACTGCGCCCGTTCACTCTCTTTCCTCTGGAACGCCACAGCCCGGAGTTCTGCACCTGCGGCGGGAACCTTTTGAAATGCGCTCGGGACTCTTGGAACACAGGCGCATATTTTTCCAGGGGGTTCCCCTTATTCTCCAAGAGGCCTGTATTCCACAGCTTTGAACTGCTGATAGAGAGGCACAAGTTCTCACCCCTGTCCAGGGAAGAAGGCCCCACTTTCTAGGGAGCTGAGATGTTGGTGCACACATGTTCCTTTGTGCCCTCACTCAGAACACACTGTCCTGTGGAAATTCATGTCTGTCTTGATTTTGTCAATTGGGAGAAGGCAGGCTGTGAGGTTAGGGACTGTTGGCCTGCGGCGGGCCGTTAGGATGGGATGCTGTTCATGAAAATCTGAGTTCAAGTCGTCAGGAGACTTCTCAGGGCCTTCGCACTTTCTATTCCCTGTACCAAGCACACTCTTCCACCACTTCTTCCCATGTCCGGCACTCTCTTGCCCTTCAGCTCAGATGTCTCCTCTGCAGAGATGGTTTTTCTGACTACTCTGTCCTAAGCAGCCCTTCCTCTACCTATTTCTGGCACATTCTCCCACTGTATTTTATTCCTGGAGCTTACCTGAAATAATCTTATTCATGTATTTATTTACGGGTTTGTTTTCTGTGTCTGCCCAGCAGAATGTAGGATCAAAGAGGGAGAGGTGCTGCTCTGTTCAGCGCTGAACCCCAGCCCCTGCACACAGCACATGCTCCCCAGGTATTCCAGAATGACAGAATGTGTGGACACCCATTGAGTGAAGCGAGCTGAGACTGGAGAGTGTTAAGAGAAGTGAGACACAAAGGATCTGGCCACTAGGCAGGAGCTCAGGGTTCAAACTGGTGGTTAAGGTCACATAGTTCTACTTCCATTTTAAATCACCTCTGCAGCTTCTCTTCCTAGTTGTTGCTTAACCCGTGCTTGGATCCTCTAGGAACTTCTCACCTCCTGAGACAGCCTGTTCCATCAGAGGAAAGCTGTGGGGGCAGAGAACCAGATATAGCCCCTGTAGATATAGCCCCGGTTCTCATGTGTGTGGCCTCCTGCAAGCCACTGTTCTGGTCCTTCTGCTATGCTTTGCATCCCAGCCGTCCTCCGTCCATTGGTATCCATCCCAGAGAGCTTTCTTTGTGCTTCTCTGCCATCACTGAAGTTTCCTGAGCCCCTGACCAGAACTCGTATGCTCCTGAGTCGTGTCACCAGAGGGGGCCTGAGGCAAAGCTGCATCAAGCGAAAAGGCCATTGCCAATTTAGAAACCTTCAAGGCCAAGTTCTGTGTTGTTCCGGCCTTTGTAACTGCATTGGATTGGGGGTGGGGCCTCTTTTTCTTTCACTCTTTTGTTCTTTTCCTGTATTTTCCTGAATCATTCCTTAATCAATTTATTAACATGGCCCTAGGTATATATTAAAACAAATTAATTCTTGGACCATTTTCTTTTCCTTTTTTTTTGAGACAGAGTCTTGTTTGCCCAGGCTAGAGTGAGTGTCGTGGCGTCAGCCTAGCTCACAGCAACCTCAAACTCCTGGGCTCAAGCAATCCTCCTGCCTCAGCCTCCCGAGTAGCTGGGACTACAGGCATGCGCCACCATACCTGGCTAACTTTTCTATTTTTTGTAGAGACAGGGTTTTGCTCTTGCTCAGACTGGTCTCAAACTCTTGGCCTCAATCAATTCTCCTGCTTCAGCCTCTCAAAGTGCTTGAGTTATAGGCATAGCCACTGTGCCTGGCCTGGACCCATTTTCTTAATGGTCTACATGTTCTCTGATATACACCTTGCATGTATACATCTTGCATGTATAGTTGAAACTCAACTGAAATGAGATGCTTTATATATGATTCTAATTTATTGAGTTAGTTCAAGTTTCTTCATGGGTTATGACAAGCACAGTGGGTGGAATGGGGTCTGCATTGAGGGGTTTGGCTACAAGCTTTGCTTTCTTCTTCACTTTGGTGAAAGTTGTTCATTCAGTTATGAAAATGGGTACAAACATTTTTCCTTAGGAACAAAAGAGGACCAGGAAAGACTGTTCTTTTTTTTTTTTTGAGACAGAGTCTCACTCTGTTGCCCAGGCTAGAGTGAGTGCCGTGGCGTCAGCCTAACTCACAGCAACCTCAGACTCCTGGGCTCAAGCAATCCTCCTGCCTCAGCCTCCCGAGTAGCTGGGACTACAGGCATGCGCCACCATGCCCGGCCAATTTTTTCTCTATATATTAGTTGGCCAATTAATTTCTTTCTATTTATAGTAGAGACGGCGTCTCACTCTTGCTCAGGCTGGTTTTGAACTCCTAACCTCGAGCAATCTGCTGGCCTCGGCCTCCCAGAGTGCTAGGATTACAGGCGCCCGGCCGAAAGACTGTTCTTAATTGAGGTCATATCTATACATGAACCCTTAGCTCAGCTTATTTACTTCATTTATTCAAGAAACAATCATGGAGAGAGGGCACTGCCCTGGTGCTGACCACACAGCAGTCAAGAAAACTGCCAGCCTTGTTGAGTTTACATCCCAGGGGTGGAGATGGACAGTAGTCAACTAGACCTGTAATATGATGGTAGGGAGAGGGGTCCGCGTAATGGAAATGAAACTGGGTAAGGGGGTCCAGAGCGATGGGATGGAGGTAGAAGTGGCTTTGGTCAGAGTAGGGCTCTCTAAGAAGGCATTCAAGCAGAAACCCAGATGAATGAGGGAGTGGCCCTGTGGATAGCTGGGGGAAGACCGTTCCATGCAATTGCAGTCCAAGGTTGTGGTCGAACTCCCAGTGCAGCCAGGCAGCTCTTGAGTCCTGCACAAGGTCTGTCTCACTGCAGAAGGGGGAGGGGTCCTGCTCTCCCCCAGCGCTCAGCAAGTGGCTAGAGGAAGATCTTGGCGTCCTGTGCTTCTGAGGGCTGGCACCTACCTTTACAGAGTGTGGACCGGGCAGTGGTACTTTCTGAAGCTGCCACCTGGGGAATGAGCACGAGTTGAGGGGCACTGCCGGGGTTGTAAGTGCACACACAGTAGGACTTGCTGCACCCCACCTGTTCTGGCTGTGGACTCCTTCCTATTTTGTGTCATTTGATTACATCCACCTCATCACCTAGAGTAAATCACCTAGAGGGAAACAAGTTACTTATTAGGGCTTTGATGGAAAAAATGAAGAGATGAAAATGTATAGGATTGGGGACCCGGAGATGCATGCTTCCCACTCTCTACATTGATTGCTCAATCAATTGATGTTATTTAATATAGTGTAAGATTCCTGGGGGTTAAGAATAAGAGACTGGATTGTGTGACCTTGTACCGGTAACTTGACCTTTCTGAGTCTTGGTTTCTTCATCTGTGACATTGAGGAAGAGGTGTGACAGGGAGGTTTCTTGGAAGAAGTGACATGTAGGCCAGGTGGGTGGCTCACGCCTGTAATCCTAGCACTCTGGGAGGCAGAGGCAGGCGGATTGCTCAAGGTCAGGAGTTCAAAACCAGCCTGAGCAAGAGCGAGACCATCTCTACTATAAATAGAAAGAAATTAATTGGCCAACTAATATATATAGAAAAAATTAGCCGGGCATGGTGGCGCATGCCTGTAGTCCCAGCTACTCGGGAGGCTGAGGCAGGAGGATCGCTTGAGCCCAGGAGATTGAGGTTGCTGTGAGCTAGGCTGATCCCACAGCACTCACTCTAGCCTGGGCAACAAAGCGAGACTCTGTCTCAAAAAAAAAAAAAAAAAAAAAGAAGAAGTGACATATAAGAAGACACAGGACGGGAGGGCTTCCCTAGTGGAGGTGGGGTAGGCGATGGAGGGAAGAGAGCCCAGATAAAGGGTTGCCAGGCGCTCAGATGCTGCAGGACTCTCACTGTGTGTGTGTGCTGGCGTGTACTGTGGAGAGGGGAGTGACCTAACAGCCCTCAAAACATGCTGGTTGACTTGACAGCTATGCCCGGCACCACTGGGCCCTGCCCCTCCGTCCTCACACAGCTTCTGCAACCAGCCGGTGCGCAGATCCTCCTATGATCCCATGTTCCAAACCAGGAAATTAAGGTGTAGAGTTATGAATAACTTATTTACAGCTCTGCCCAGCTGTATCAGGAAAGTTGGAGGTAAGGAGGGTCTTCCCAGATTTATGTGGGCTGCAGTGATGTCAAGAGAGATGGCTCTTTCTAAATATCTCTGACAGGCCCCGCTTTGGCGCACCCTGGCAAGAAGTGCCAGCTCTGGGAGGGCAGAGGCTGCTCCTGGCGAACGTGTGCACCCTGGCGTATGCCGCACGCAGCGAGGGCCTGCGGGGATGTTAGGGACACGCCCCAGGGCCTCTGCGTGGCCGCAGAGCAAGGCTGGAGGAAGTCATTGCCTTCATTTCCCAGGTGTTTCCTGACTTTTCCAAGGTGGGACCCACAAGTTGGGGCAGAACTGGACATGGGGCCCAAGTCAAAACCAGAATGCTTGGGAAAGGGAGGCTGGGGCACTTGGCCCAAGCTGGGGCAGGACAGAGGGGCCCTGAGGGGTGTGCGACACCCTGGCAACCTGGCTGCTTCAGCGCGTTGCTCTGATCACTTCCAGCCACCCGCCCCAGCCACCGCCGGGCGCTCGGACAGGCCGGGCCCAACCGGCCCCAGACACCCCAGAGTCTTTTCCGCGTCCACATTTTGTCCCACTGTCCCCATGCTTGGCATGCTCTTTCACGCTTGTCTGCTTTCAGAGCTTTCCACACTGCATGACTGCAGTGGCCTTCTCCCTCTTTCCTTCCCTTTTGGCTGGAGAAACGAATGCTCTTTTATACAAGAAATCCTGACTATATCCTTACTGTACACAAATGTGAACATGTCAGAAGTCGTAGAGTAAAAACTGAAATTCCACCTCCCCTGTCCCAGGTTGCTTCCAGAGAGAATGTTTGTGATAAGCTGGACAGAGTGTCTGTTGTGTATATGTACAGGTGGGTGTACCTGTGAGAATCTTTAATAACCAAAATAATGGGCTCATTTTATATGTATTGCTCACCAACTAATTTTGTTCCATTTATTAATAGTTATGTCCAAGAGTGCTTTGTCCACATATATTTCTCTTCCTTTTTTTTTTTTTTGGAAAAGAGAATACCAGCCTGAGCAAGAGCAAAGACCCCATCTCTACTAAAAAAAATAGAAAGAAATTAGCTGAACAACTTAATATAATAGAAAATAATTAGCCGGGCATGGTGGCGCATGCTGGTAGTCCCAGCTACTTGGGAGGCTGAGGCAGGAGGATCACTTGAGCCCAGGAGTGTGAGGTTGCTGTGAGCTAGGCTGATGCCACGGCAGTCACTCTAGCCTGGGCAACAAAGTGAGACTCTGTCTCAAAAAAAAAAAAAAAAATGAAGTTGGACCCCTACCTCACACCCACATGTAAAATTAACTCCAATGGATCAAAGACCTAGACCTAAAAGCTAAAACTATAAAACTTGTAAAAGAAAACATAGGCATAAATCTTCATGACCTTGGATAAGGCAAAGTTTTTGTAGGTATGACACCAAAGGCAAAGGCAACACATGAAAAATTGGACTTCACCAAAAACCTTGCACTTCAAAGGACACCACCAAGAAATGAAAAGACAACAACCAGAATGAAAAAAAAAATTGAAAGTCATATATCTGATAAGCGACTGAATCTAGAATATATAAAGTGCTCTTACAGCTCAACAATAAAAAGACATATAACCCAATTCATTTTATTTTTTTCACACTATAATATCTTTAATTAAGTACAAATAACTTTTTAACATGTTATTATGTTGCATGGAGACCATTTCACCACTGCTCTGTTTGGCTGCCAGTCTCTTACCCCTCTCTTCAGCAATGGTGAGGCGGATACCTTTTCCTCGAGGAAGAGAAATCCATGGTTTGTTGCCTTTGCCAATAACGAAAATGTTGGAGAGGCGAGTGGCAAAGCTGTTGCCATTGGCATCTTTCACGTGAACCACATCAAAAGACCCGGGATGTCTTTCTCTGTTGTGATCACACCAATTCTTCCCAGGTTAGCGCCTCCAGTCACCATACACAGGTTACCAGTGTCAAACTTGATGAAATCAGTAATCTTGCCAGTCTCCAAATCTATCTGAATGGTGTCATTCACTTCGATGAGTGGATCAGGATAGCGGATGGTGCGAGCATCATGAGTCACCAGACGAGGGATTCCTTTTGTGCCCACAAAGATTTTTCTCACTTTGCACAACTTGTACTTGGCCTCCTCAGGTGTGATATGATGAACAGCAAAGCGATGGTGTCATAAATCAGACGGAAATTCTCTCCAGTCTTGTCAATGCTGATGACATCCATAAATCCAGCAGGGTAGGTTATATCAGTTCGGACCTTGCCATCAATTTTAATGAAGCGCTGCATGCAGATCTTCTTCACTTCATCTCCTGTCAGGGCATACTTAAGCCTGTTTCTTAGGAAAATGATGAGTGGGAGACACTCTCTCAGCTTGTGGGGACCGGTGGATGGACGAGGAGCAAACACACCGGTCAGCTTATCCAGCGTCCAATGCTTTGGAGCTGCTACACGCTTCAGATGCTTCTTAGGACCACGGGCCATGGCTGCGCTAAGCACGGAAAGAGGACCGCCTCCTTCCAGTGTGCAGGGGCTAACCCAATTTAAAAATGGACAAAAGATTCCAATACACATATCTCCAAAGAAGATACACAAATGGCTAATAAGCACATGAAAAGATGCTCAACATCATTAGCCATCAGGGACATGCAAATCAAAATCATAATGAGATATCACATTATACCCACTAGGATGTCAATAATCAAAAAGATGGATAATAACAAGTGCTGATGAGGATGCGGAGAAACTGGAACCCTCATACACTCCTGGTGGGAATGTAAAATGGTGAGCCGCTCTGGAAAACAGTTTGGCAGTTCCTCAAATGTTAAAAATGGAGTTCCCACATGACCCAGCAAGTCCACTACTAGGTATATATTCAAGAGAAATGAAAAAAATATGTCCGTGCAATTTTCTATACTCTTCTCTGGGAGGGTACGCGGGAGAGCCAGGGAATGTTAAG